CAGGCATCTCTCTCTCTCTCTCTCTCTCTCTCTCTCTCTCTCTCTCTCTCTCTCTCTCTCTCTCTCTCTCTCTCTCTCTCTCTCTCTCTCTCTCTCTCTCTCATACATTTTCGTATTTTTTAGCTGACATAAGAAAAAAATAATAAAAAGAAGTTTCCCGGGATTTCCCGGGATTTCACATATTTCCCGGGAAGGAAAAAAAGCCCATTTATGGTCGGGATCCCGGGAAGGAAACCCTAATATACACGTATTTTTTTTTTCTTTCTTTTTTTCTTTTTTATGTACTTCAGTGGATATTAGCGTGTATAAACCATTTGATAATTACGGAAGAGGTGCTGAGTTACTTTTCTCGGAAATATTGGCAAGAGATTAATTAAATTTATTTCGAATATCGTTAAGCCTGCACTTCTCGATTTTGGGTCAGGTGTTACTGATATGAGACAGCGGAATAGCAGTCTGAGGTCTTCTATGAAAAAGAGGGATGGAGGCTGTTAAGCATATTGGCGCGAGGGCAATGAGAGTAGGGAGGAGGAGGACGAGTGCGTAGAAAACGAAAAAGAGTGAAAAGATTTCGAGCTATAAAAATATGTCTTCTCCCTAGCTTAGTCAATTATAGTTCCGTATTGCCAAGGTGCGCAATAATACAGAGAGAAGGAGTGAGATATCATTATTCATATTAACAATCATGAATCACTATGAGACACCGTTATCGTCTTATGATGTCGGGGTAAATGATATCTCTCCCCCGTCAGATACATTGTACATGATTGACTCAGGGATAGAAGAACGGTCTGAGGTAGAGTGCTACATTTTAACGTGAGGATAAATGAGTTTGTTACAGATGATTATGCAGAATTTAGATGGCCGGCTGGACAAAACTGTTATATTCACCTGTCGAGATTGCTTTTAGAGATTAAAGGCAGTTTGAGGAAAGGAGATGGTACTTCATTACGAGAAAGCCATCATGCGGTGTTGTGCAACTCTATGTACTTGCTAATTAAATCTATAACGGTTCGTTTTAATGGACAGCAAGTGGAACAAAGACCTATGTATATTTTTTGTCCTTCGCTGAAGAAAATATTTGGAAGAAATATGCATTATTACGATAATTCTAGCTGAGCAAAATATTACTTTACTGATGCTAGTGTACAAGAGAAATTCTGCTAGGAACTTGTTTGCCCCAGACAGGTTTATTATTAATGCTACGATAGAGAGGGTGAATCGATGCCTGTGGTGAAGATAGAGACTTGTAAACTTCACTTAACAATATTTAAGCCAAGAGATTCAGCGCGAGAGGCTCTTGACAAATCTTTACTTCGCAGCCCTCTTAGCTGTATATTTAAGAAAACGCTATACAAGATTCATGATTATGTCATGGCAAGCCATCAGACCCAATTTGCTACTGACATGCTGAGCGGGTCAACGATTCCTAAAAAGTTATCTCTTCTTATGAAACTTGAATCCTCTGCATTTCGGTCATAATCATTTGAACAAACTTTTTGCTACCATTGATAACAACTCTTTATACAATATAAGCACGAGCTTCCCGAGCTGTTGTTCAGATTTATATTATCACTCGCTGAGTGCGCTGGGATTGGAAAAGGAACATTCGTTCAACAGATATGGATTTGTTAAAGGTAAAATGATTGCCGTTATGGATTTGCTACCTGAAAAGCTGCAGGATTCGATAGATACTAAAAATTCTTGAAGTCTCGGGATAGCTGCTGAATTGTGAAAGCCACACGACTCGAATATAGTTTTATTTTTGGTGGGAGATACACAGGGCGTAATTTACGTCGATAACGATCGCAGGGTGGTCACAGATGTCAGATTATAATGAAATGTAGTGAATTCTTTGTGGTTGATATACGTCTTGCCACAGACCGATAATAATGGAGCTTTATGAATGAGTAATTATTGGGAAATCTTACATTGCTTACTTTGATTCTTACGGGATCAAACCACATATTTATTCTTCTTGGTTGCAAGGATTTACAAACAGTACTATGATAAGAGTTTTCTTGACATTAGCAGAGATTTGTATTCTTGATAGCTTAACATGTGGCGCATATGTTATCTTTATCATGTATCATATTAATTTGTACGGGATAGATCCTATTACTAATTTTCTATGTTGCTATCCTTCACAGGATGATTTTAGATATAATGATAGGAAGGATTTTTGCATAGTGATTTTAAAATACCTTGTTGTGAAAGATTATTTTGCGATAGATCTCTAAGGAAAAGGGAATGCAAACAAATTTTCTGCGGATAAGCAATTACCCCTCTCCGATGTTTTTTTTTTCGTCGTCGTGGCTGGTTGAAGAGACTACCAAGTACCAAGCCACGCTGTAAAAGAGGTAGGTCGGATCTGATGGCTGTCATACCGTCCTTCTCGAAGTGTACCAAGATGCCGAGGTACCAACATGGGAGGTAAATTATTCTTATAAGAACATTTTGGCTTATGTTATGCATCTATGCACATTTGATATTGTTTTATGACCTTTCTAGTAGATGTATTGATATATATAGAGGATTAATTTTTTGCAGCCGTGGTTGTTCGCAACACACGTATCGATGGATCTTTGGAAGGGCTATACTTTCGGACAGGTGAGTCTATCCGGTAATTTGAACAAATACATATACTTTTATTTGTATGCTGCTACCATTTTAAATCCAAGTATGTTAATATGCTTTCTCTTTCCTCTGTTGCAGTTTTTGAGAGTGGAGTTCACGAATGCTGAGATGTTAACAGTATGAGCACACCGCTGCAATCGACGTTGGCGCCAAAAAAAGAAGGATGGCGCTACCGCTGGGACAACACCAAAGAGATCCTCAGACCCACTATTGTCTGCGAGCGGAGCTATGCCCACTACAAATGCTGTGGGGAGCATATGTGTCCTTACAACCACTAGTTTTCCTATCAGAGATATGCTCCACCTCCCCTGCTGACCACCCTAGGAGGATGTAGAAGTCATCACTGTTGACAGAGTGTGTGTATGTGTGGGCGTGTTCTTCTTTTATGAAGTGTTTATGCAATATGAATAAAAGTATACATAGTTCATCCGCTGTGTGGCTGGCATGATGAAGGGGTTTGGGAGGGGGTAGGGTTCTCTCCCCTCGACGGTTATTTGTTATTGATTATGATACTCATTAATTAGGAGTGATCACTCGCCTGTAACACGGTCGATAATCGATTTAGTTACAAGTTCAAACATGATGAATATTGCGGTGCAAGATGTGGGTGTGTGAGGGGGGGTCATCTGTAGTACCCGGTATTGGCTGCAGCTGGATGCATGTTTGTTTGATTCTCTGCTTCTTCTACCTCTTCCTCTTATTATTATTATTATTATTATTATTATTATTATTGCTTTGGAGAGGAGGGGAGAGGGAGGGGCACCAGTCAGGTGTGCGTGTTAGATATCATTAGTACATGCCCTTCAGGTATGCATGTTAGGCATCATTAAATGTGGTTAATGATTCCCGGTTACGGTCATTGATAGTGGTAATCACTAGCGGTTTCCGGTGTTAATTACCCCTACTTCCTGTTGTGACACATCATGTATGTACATAAGGTGAGTAGCTCTGTCCAGTCACCTGCTTTGGAGAGGAGGGGAGGGGGGAGGGGCATCATTTAGGTTTGCGTGTTAGACATCATTAGAGGTGGTTAACAATTTCCATTTCTGATCATTGATTGTGATAATCACTATTGGTATACGTTAATTATACCTACTTCCTGTTATATGTCATGTACGACCGTAAGGTAGACAGGTGTGCATGTTAAGCATCATCATTATTCCTACTTCCTGTTATGACACGTCCTGTATGCACGTAAGGTGAGTAATTCTATCTTGTCTCCCACTACTTATGTGTGTGTGTGTGTGCGTGTGTGTGTGTGTGTGTTGTGTGTGTGTGTGTGTGTGTGTGTGTGTGTGTGTGTGTGTGTGTGTGTGTGTGTGTGTGTGTGTGTGTGTGTGTGGGTGTGTGCACACATGTATTATATATATATATATATATATATATATATATATATATATATATATATATATATACATGCATATATATTTATGTGTGTGTGTGTGTGTGTGTGTGTGTGTGTGTGTGTGTGTGTGTGTGTGTGTGTGTGTGTGTGTGTGTGTGTGTGTGTGTGAACAAACCTATATATTTTTATAATATGTATATGTACATATATACATATATTTATGCACACTATGCATTTATGTATTTATATATGTAGAGAGATTAACAGATAGACTGCTATATACTCAAACATACGTGTGTATTTCCATGTATATGTATGTATCTTTCTCTTTGATATTCTGTATATACTGTAAAATGAAATGAGGAAAAATAAAAAAGTAGGAAACACTATGAATTTAATGTGAAATTTAATATCTAGTAGTAACATATAACAATATTAGTTCCCACATTGTAAATATGATGTTTTTTATACAACTGCTTCTATTACATTTCTCTTAGCATCTATGTAGTTATCATATTAAATCCCCTATCATAACATGGGCAACAGCATGGATCTACATTATACGTTCCTGCATAAGTAAGCTACATATTTCTACAATTACAAGTATCACAAATTTGGATACATGCGACATTACTTTACTTTATTAATGTGAGGTAATAACGTATTAGTTCGATAATCAAGCCACGAAACAGGAAATTAAATCCATCTATATTATGTATATCAAGGAGAGAGAAATAGTGAAATAAAATTGCAGATAAGCTTTCAACTGTAGTGGAAATTTTGACTTATTTTCTACATGAAAATATCTACAATTACATTGCTCATGAACACAATCGTACAGGTGGATGTTTTGATGCAGAGTGTAGAAAATAAGGAGAAAATAAGGGAAGAGTTGGAGCGGTAGCCGCCTCTGTATCGCTTGTAGAGGTAAAATATTCGACGAATTATGTGATATATCTCTTGAAATGCCGACTCTAGGGATTTTGATCGACCTTCTGCGACTTACGGAAACTTTTGTTTAATTTTTCGGCGAGAATAGAGTTCCCTCTTGTTGAGATCTTGTAACCATCACGAAGTAGCCCGTGACAAAGGAGAAGTAGGTCAGAGGGAAAAGGACTCGTGAGGCTTCGTCGATGGCTGTGTCGCCCTTCCAGAAATCTTTCCACGACTCCATCCACTGAGCTATCCTGTCGCCGCTTCGCGTTATGGCCATCGCCTGTGTCATTAAGTGTATTATCGAAAATCAAAACGAAATATTTTCATTAAGTATTTCACTGCACAGTAAAGCTTTAGCAGACACAGTAAATTAAAACTGTGACAAATAGCAGCCATTCATGTCAAAGAATATGTTTTGCACTGTTTGAGGATGTCACGATTTGGCAATGTTACTGTTTGTCAGAATTGAGTGAAAGTTGCTTCTGAATGTTATTTAATGAAAATAGCAGATGTGAAGTAACAACATCGCAAGGCGTTACTTGCATGTGCGGACTTTTTGTCGAATGCCTTTTCACTGACGAACTATTGGCCGAACGGACTTATCGCCAATAGAAATTATTTCAAATTGAAATGTCACTGCCACATGAATCACAAACCTCATTCTATTGCAGGTGCTGTTAGTTTCAAAAGAAAGTAATATACCCCATAAGTATATTGCGTTACTTCAATTTGTATAATTTGGAAAATTATTCAAAATACAAAATGGCGATATGCCGAATACTGTTGATATTTTTATTACATTATAAAATAGATAAATATAAAAAAAAATGAAAAAATCTACACATTACTCCAATTTCCATAAAAAGACACGCAATAAGTCATCCATACTACAGTTTGTCAAATTCGCCTAAAATATATAAATAAACGTGGTAACCAAGTATTGTCGATCATCCCTGCCGACCCGGCGTAACAGCCCAGAATAACTCCCTCCCAGAAAATGCCCAAGTAGTTTGGGCTAGCCCAGAATAACCACTGGAGTAAAATTGGGGCGAGCCTATAAATTTCTAGCTCTCATATTTTAAATTGGTCGTACTACAATTGAAATGCTAATTGATATATTTCTCTATTTTAAGTCTTCATCAATGTTTAATGGCTTAGCTTGAGTGCGTTAATTTTTCTTACAAATATTTCTCATACCTTGTTTTAGAAAACTGAAAAACTCTATAGCCCATAACAACAATATTGATTTACAGCAATGGTATCTGGAGAAGACTGCTTAAGAAATTGTGGCATTCTAGTTCATGAAATAAAAAAAGGAGGGCAAGAGGGCTTAAAGGCTCAGTCGTGAAACGTAAGTTATCTTTTCGGAAAAAAGTGCTTAAAGGTTGATGGGCCTACCATTTTTAAGAGGGGACATGGGAAGAGGAGACGAAGTTGTTCATTCGTCCAATATGATAAAAATACAAGTAAAGACAACCAAAATGATGTTTAGTGAAACCAACAAACCCACAAATACATGTCTTATATTGCATATTCACTTGTCACTAACCAGTATTAATTAGCAATACTACTAGTTATAGTAACACTGTTACTTTCTTTTGGGTTTAACATAATGCTTATAATAATAGCAATAATAATGATAATAATAATTATCATTATTATTTTCATAACAATTATCATTGCTATCATTACTATAATCATCAAAATAATGATGATGATGTTGTTGATAAGAATGATGATAACAATAAAAGAATAATGAAAACATGACACAGACCACATAAAACCGATTAGTTAAAAATCTCTTTCTCTCTCTCTCTTTCTTTCTATATAGATAAGTATGTGTGTGTGTGTGTGTGTGTGTGTGTGTGTGTGTGTGTGTGTATGTGTGTGTGTGTGTGTGTGTGTGTGTGTGTGTGTGTGTGTGTGTGTGTGTGGTAAAAAAAAAATACACACACATGCAAATGGTAAGTACTTCTCAATTGTGAGTCACAGAAATGTACATGCCACATTTTCAAAATGTTGTAGTCTGTACACATCATTGCAGTCTGTACAGATTATTAGAACTCTATGCACAATGAATGTCTGCAGTTGCGAGATGAATGCATGATCCGCAATAACACCAACTCTTATCTTCCTGCGATATGTTAATATACATGTTACATGCAAATGGGATGGGGTATAATCTGGCATAGGCTAGCCCACTTTATACTTGGGGGTATAAACTATCTTAGCCTAACTTCTGCTCCGGGTATAAAACAGGTAGACTAAAATATCCCCGAGTATATTCTAGATAGGGTCAATAGTCTGGGCTGTTACACCGGAATGACCGCGGAGACACGATCGTATTTACCTCTAAAGAAGTGTTTAAAAAGCTTTAATTCTTGAGGACTCTTCTTTACAGCCTTCTAGTTACAGTCATTGAATATTTGCACGTATTCATATAGTTTAAAAAAATGTTTACCTCTATTATGCTTTTCGATCGATATTAATTTCTACAGTGTTTTCAACTTAAATGTCATCTTTAACTTTATTTGTATTACGAAATGAAAATGGCCACCGTCGGTGAAATGGCCGTTCGGTCTATAGTCTGTCAGTGAATTATCCGTCGGCGAGATCAAGGTCTATATAAGTAATTATATTGACCTTAGACGAGATAACCTTCGCCAAAAACTCCGACAGCCGTTACCTGCGATTGGCCGTTGGTGGTAGATACAAGGCTTTGCATTTTGCTCTTGGCTCTGCGGTAGTGGACGTGGTAAACAATGGAGAATTCGAGGAGCGCAGCAAATACATAAACCATGCATGTAATCATCCAGATATCCAAGGATTTGATATAAGACACTAAAAGAGGGAAGAAATGAACATATTTATGGATACGGTCACGCAAAATAAACTATACAAATTAATATTGATAGTATTTGACAATGTGAAACAAATAGAAAAAGAGCAAAGATATCACCTGGAGGCAGGTTCTTGGTAGACTGAGAGTACTGTGTGGCCATGGTCAGAATAGATGTCACTCCAAGAGTTACACGTGCTACAAGAAAGAACAAACATGCGAACATTATCGTATGTATTCTCAACTTATATTACTAGCATGAATCCATTCTTAATTAATCCATTTTCATAAAGGTACCAATATGTGAACATCTAATACCTTTTGATAACATACAGTAAACAGATATGTTCCTTAGGATGCACTTCAGAAAGATTTTGATCATCTATTTCACAAATTCACCCAATGGCAGCAAGTAAAATAAAAGTACACCTGCATATGTATATAGTGTAAACATACGCAGATTGTAAATACGAGTAAAACCGCGAAGGAAAGAGCAAGAACACACATAAATATGCCAATAAACTTTCTTGCTTTATTTCCGCTTGAATGAACTATGCACATATGCGATACACACACAGTGTTGCATAAAATAAATACTGAATCGTGTATCACCTACTGATAAAGTATTCTGAGACTTCATGAGCCTTTTCTAAAGACCGCTAGAGGAACTAACCATTCACAAGCTCAAGAAGGTTAATAGTTAATGGTGGCAACTGATTCTTTTTTAGCTTACAAACAGAAAATCAACCTGGCAGCCAAACATGTCTTACTCCAAGTTCAAATAATTTCTCTAAACATAAAGAATTCTCGTATAAGCTTTCTCAATTTAACAACAAATATCAAAATTTCAGTAACTTTTATACTATCTACGTTGTGAATACAGATTCAATACACTCCATTTGGGAAGTTCGTGAGGAAACTAAGATATCCAAAGTTCCTTTAAGTTAAACAGTGTTTCAAAGAAATAGTCGAATTTCAGGGACACATGGGTCATGAAGAAATGCTGACTCTATATCGATGTGACCTTGAGAAACAGATTGAAGCTGTTATACCTAACCCTTTGACACCCTTATTCACTTTTTACACGCCTTATGATATTTCTTGGAAGTATGACATAGTAATCTTGTCATGAGAGTATCCACGAATAGCAAGTTAGGAGGTGAGTGAGAAATAGTTTCTCCAACTTTCAATATAAAGGGAGTGTCCTAAGTGTGACTCTGCTTGCCACCACTGACATGGAAATGAAGTTCCAATATCTGTAAGCTTTTGGTGGGCCACATCTTACGTTTCTTGTAAAATTAATCAAAACAACAGTTATATATGAATATAGCTATTAGTGCCAGACTTGATGTTGTTTGCCGCTGGAAAGTCAGTATTTGGCGAGAGGCTGGGTAAGGCGAAATAACTGTGGGCTCGATATCGTTCCGACGCCCCGAACTGGCATAATATTGAAACTTGAGTGGCGGTGGAGCGTTCTCATGTACGTCTTTCATAAAGATTATTTGTCTCTATTTTCAAAGCTAAGATTCCATCGAAAAGAGAGCACGTTGCGACCTCCAGAAAGCCAGAAAAAAAACTCGTTCACATTCCCTTAGAGATAACAAAGAGGTATCGAGGTCGCTTCGAGGTATCACGAGTACCAACGCGCTTTTTTCCGCTCTCATGATCGCTAGGCACCTTGTGACTGATAGCTTAGGGTTAAAAGACGCAATGACTTTCTGCGAGTTTAGCGTCTGGATATGGATTTGCAACACACTTGACTTGCAATACACACATTACGCGGTAGCAATGCGGTCAACATCCTCATGCAATTCTTGAAGTTAGGATCATCTGTCTTCAGGTTCTGGACTAGCCCATAGTACTACTGTTGTTTTATTGACCAACTCATAGTACTACTGATCTTTTATGAACCAACTACGATCCCAGACCTGCGGCCGACGCCTCTTAAATCTTCGCATCAGTTTCCGTATCTCCATGATTTTAAGGGCCGCTTCTTGCAGGATATTGGACCTGGAGAAGATCGAGGTACACTCTGTCCATGTTGACTGCTTGAAGGTGCCATCTCTACCGTTACTCGCATAGTTTTTATACCCTCCCGACTTATTCGGTCGTATCTCACTCGTGAAATGGGTAAGGTAGAAACGCAAACCTAGCAAGCCATTGACCGACGCATGATAGTCATGCGAATGAGCGAAAAAGAAACGCTCTTACGCATAACTTCCATGAGTCGATAGCGATTCTCT